AGCTTTTTCTAGTCTTCGTCCATGCCATACCATAGAGCATCATAAACCGCTCTTACAAAAAAGCCTCGCGATGTTAGAAACTATATATTAGTCTACGTGCACCGTGCGTTACTTCACTTTGCGCTTTCTAGCTGCGAAGCGTCGCGTTATCCATGTTAGCTCCGCGTGGGGAATATACATAAATTATATCTTCTTATAAGAGAAATGGGTTTTTCTTTAGGCGAATACATTATATATACAAAAGAGAATAAACACGGAGATATACGTATTTAGAAAAATGTATACTGCGATTTTATTTCGTTCCATTTCTTGTCTTTATTGGCGTATACAACCATGTATTTATATGTAAGCTGACTTTGTACTTGCGTGTATTATTATCGAAATCTGTCAAGGTAATTGTAAAGCTTAGAATGTGGGTTCCACAATGCGACAATTGTTACAAGATAACGACGCAGCTGATTTTATTCCCGGTAGAAATGGTCGCGTGACATTTACGAGAATTCCCGATTGTTCAATTTCAGATGGAAATTACGAGTATCCAGGACTAGAACATCGCCGCACGATGGCAATTATGTTAACTGTATGCAAATATTAGGTGATGCTATTCAGTCGATTATTGTAAATGTTAGGAACAATAGGAAAGCTTACGCGTTCACGTAAATGAACGTTATCTCAGTGGTGAGGGACCGATCTGTGACTAATAATTTTAAAGTGTTGTTTTTAAGTACTGTCTATTGATGATTTATGATCGTTTAGAAGGTTTGCACTCTGACATTTGCTATACCTCAAAGTGACTACCAATGATCGGAGTTCAATTTGAAACTGTGGCACGAATCAGCGATTTTCTCTCAGATGTCAATGCTTTCGGTTTGGATTTGAACTTTGGACGACTAAACTGACCGTGGATTTCCCGAAGCAAACGACAAGTGCCCTACGGGATATTTGATATGGGAATCTACGTCGATGCTACGCTTTGCCGCTTTATAGCCGCACATCCAAAGCGACTTTTGTTTCTCTGAATTTTTCAGAGAAGTCCACATAACGTATAAAAAAAAACAAAGTGATATCAATATAAACAAAACTTGCTACGAGATTTTCAAATCGTTTCGCGAATAATAACATCTGAGGGAAATGGTGAAAGTGGATTTATAGACGATCGAACAGCGAACGACGATCTCGTCGTCGCATCATTATAATCGTCGACCAAGTTTGCGTGATGGTACAGTCATCATGATTTAACAGCGCTTGTCAAGACGAAAGAGAGAGATGACGGTGTTGTATGCATACACCACCGCAATGATGGTTAATTGCGAGGCAGAAGAGAAACTTTTGACGGTTATAAAAAGAGTCCGCTGAAGTTTCGCGCGTCGCGGAGAGACGCGAAGAGGAGAGTCACTCGGGACCACTTCGCACTGTTTTTATTAATCGCAAACGTGTATCCTCAAGCGACGAGTTTCGCCCCTCGGAGCTCGATTGGCGATCGAGCGGACGAGAGGGTCCATGCGACGATGATGAAGTGCGACGAGAGGAAGCGCGAGATGTTTTCGCGACGCGCATGCAGCGAGAGTGGCCCGCATCCCGGAATACCGGGATACGGTAACGTGTCCATCGGCGGTCATCTCTGGAAGAAGAGAAATCAGGGACGCACCTCGGCGCCGGTGGTGGGTCACGTGAGACCGCCCGCTATAATCCTGAGAACGAGAAGGAGCTGGCCCGTCGCGCCCACACATT